TATATATATATATATATATATATATATATATATATAAAGAGAGAAATCCAGCAACAGACAAAAAGTTTATTTCAGGGATGGAGTCTTTGCCCGCAAGCAAAACATCCAGCTCAAAGAAACCCTAAACCCTAAACCCTAAACCCTAAACCCTAAGCCAACAAAGGGTTTAGGGTTATACAGGTGCTCCACCTGCTGCTGCTGCCAATGGTTCTACAGCCGCAGCTACTGCTGCTGCTGCTGCAGCTGCTGCTGCTGCAGCTGCATGCATGCGAGCTCCTCCTCCAAGGCGTACAGCAGCAGCTAGCCATCTCGCTACAGCTAGCCACACACAGCTAGCCATCCAGCTACAGCTAGCTAGCCATAGACAGCCAGCCGGGTACAGCTAGCCACCTACAGCTAGCCAACCACAGCTAGCAATATATAGCTACAGCTAGCTAGCCACCACCTGATCCTGCATGAGCCGTGTGGCGGCCGAGGAGTGTATGTGTAGGGTTTAGGGTTTAGGGTTTAGGGTTTAGTTAGGTTTTCGGGTTTATAAGGAAACTAAAATATGTTTCAGTTGCCGCATGCAATGCTTTTTTTTGGGGCTTTCTGTCTGCTGCTCATCGATGAAGTGAGAAAAGAGAGAGTGCCGATGTTGGAGGCGAAGGTTGCATGCAGGTTGGCGTGCTGCTGCTGCAGCTGCCGCAGCAGCAGCAGAAACAGCGTACGCAGGTCCACAGAAACTCCTGTGTATATAACACCAGAAAAAAAACAAAAATAAAACGAAATACTAACAAAATAAAGCTGCATGTACACCTGAACTGTACGTACACCTCATCCAGCAGAAACCCTAAACACTAAATCTCAGTTTTCGTAGCTTACACTGCGGGTAGCAAACAGGGTTTAGGGTTTAGTGTTTAGGGCATAGTTTCTAGGGTTTAGGGTTTAGGGTTTGGGGTTTAGGGTTTACGGGAGAGGCGGTTGAAGGCCTCGGCTTTGCGTTCGTCTTCGCTGCCGTTTTTATCTGCATTTGTATCTGCCCACAGCCTCCCGAGCTCCCCTGCAGCGCAGCAGAAAAAACCCTAAACCCTAAACCCTAAACCCTAAACCCTAAACCCTAAACCCTAGAAGACCTCAACAGGAAGACAGAAACAACCAAAGACAAGAACAAAAATAGGGGGGAAAGTATGCACACGTTTGTATCCTCAGCATATATGGCTAGCTGTATATAACCTCCAGCTAGCTGTAGCTAGCCACCAGCTAGCTGTAGCTACTCACAGCTAGCTACAGCTAGCTGCAGCGATATGGAACCCACTGCCAGCCGCTCAGAAATGAAGGCGAGCGATCTATATAACAACGTTTTAGGGTTTAGGGTTTAGGGTTTAGGGTTTAGGGTTTAGGGTTTGTGCGTACCCTGGAATACATGCATGCGTAGTTTGAGTATACAGCTGAGCCAGAGGAGGTGAAACTGTATATGTCGGGTGCCTATATATACATCAGGGGATAGAAGGGTTTGTAAGAAAAGAAGAAGAGGGGGCAGCAGAGAAGGAGACAAACTGCTGCATACAAGCGGTACTGATGAAGCCGGAATATGCTCATACACAAATAATAAAGTGGGCATGTTGTTCGCCACCAACGCAAATAAAAACGCCTGAGCTCAACATACACCCCAACACAACCCCACCGTGGAAACACACTCGAAACCCGCTACATATATATATATATATATATATATATATGTAAATCCAGAGAAAGAGAGAGAGACAGACACGCAGCGAAGCAGAGAAAGAAGACAACAGAAAAACAAGAACAAGAAAAAGAAGACAAAAACAAAAACATAAACCTCATCACCTGAACTATCTAAATCTATATATAATATATATATAA